GTTTTTGGGCGCTCTACTGGAATATTTGAAAACCCCATCTTTCTTCTGCTGTGTCAAGAAACAAACGATGGTATAATATTATACAAAGTAATGAAAGATTTGTTGGAATTTGTGTGTCCTCGTTTACACACTGTATTTACATGTTCTGTATCATTCCTTCGTTCTTAACATAGGGATTTAGGCTAAAGTAAACCCTTTTCTACCAGATTTTTAGGATCTTTCCAACTTTAGAAGCATTTGCTTCTACTTAGCTGTTTTTTACCCTCTTATCTTTACTTTTTCTTTTCTTCATCACTGTCATGTGCCTTTGAAATGCTTTGAGTAGCAGCATAGGTCAACATAAAAAAGTTCTCAGACTATTTATGCGTTATTATTTTGCCCTCATGTCATTTGAAATGCGCAAATATAAGCATACACGTTCAAAAGTTTAGGGTCTGTAAAATTTATTTTACAATTTCTTCATAAAAGAAGAAAATGTCTTCATGAAAGAAATGTTTTATGCTCACTAACTGCACTTATTTAATTGAATTGCAGGAAAACAGCTATATTATGAAATATTATTACAATTTAAAATAACTGTTGCCTATTTTAATATATTTTAAAATGTAATTTATTCTTGTGATGGCTGAATTCAGTCTTCAGTTCAGTGACATCATTCTTATGCCAGGTATACACATTGTTCGATTTTGACGAAAGATGACCAATCGAGGTGATTTCTGTGGTCATGGCTCCTAAACGGTTGTCCTACGTCGTACAGTGAGAGAGGTTCAAAGACAGCCGTTGTCACGGTCCTGCAACCAAATTTCTGCCTCCGATAATTTTCTGACACTGTCATAAATTCAGCATGATCATCTCACAGTGTGTTTGCTGCCGAGACCTACGTCCACTGACTAGCCAATAAAAATGCAACATGAAATGGCGTATTGATCAATGCGACATGGTGCTACAACTTACTTAAAACTACTTTCCTCAAGTTCCATTTGCAAAATTGGAATGCCAAGTTGGCCTCTTTTCCCTAGCCATGACCGCATCCATATTCTCCTCTTTCGCTTATACTCCTCTTTTTTTCAACGCATATAAAAACCACAATTGCCAAGCTAAAGTGTGATGCATCTTGCTTGTTTACCACTAGCGCATGCAGATGACGTTTTGTTCTTCTATACTAACTTGCTTCGTAGCCTATGATTCAATGGGTATTATCATCTTACAGTCTACATGCATGTCATACCCAAGTTTATTAGATCCATGTCATACAGTGTGATTTGTAGTGATCTTCTAGGATTGCTGAAATCGCAGTCTTTAGCAGGCATAACATGCTGATTTGATGCTGACACATTTCCTAAAATTTATCAATGTTGAAAAAAGGTTGTGCTGCTTAATATTTTTTTGTGAAAAGAACAGGGATTATTTGAAAACAATTTGTTTTTGTAACAATGTAGTCTTTACTGCCACTTTTGATACTTTTATGAATCCTTGCTTAATTAAAATATTAATGTAAAAAAAAAAAAAGGTTTGAACGGTAGTGTAGCTACATGTTTGATTAAATAATTCTGTAGCAAAAGAAGAGCAAATTTGTTTACAGTTGGGAACCAAACTGCATTATTTGTGGTGGTAGTCTGCATTTGTTTGCAAAATTGATGCATTTCACTCATTATCATAGCAACTTGCATGTGTTAACCTATGTGGTTTAATATCATTTCCAAATCAAAATGTACACTTGCATGCATTGGCAGTGGACTGATGACTTGTTTTGATTGTCTTGAGTTTCTCATGATTCTGTTCTATAGGATAGCGTACGATTTTGATGTTTTGAAAATAAACAAGACAATGGGGTGACATCACTGGTTCTGTCTTGATATTTTCATAAAAGAAACATTAAGAGAAGAGACAACCGCCACACACAGTTGCATTTTGTATTCTTTAATCATGCTGACATTTTAAAGCTGAAATTTTCTTTTCCTGCACACTGTGTACACTGGATTTGATTAATGAACCATAAAAAATGACCAAAATAAATGTAAAAAATGACCAAACCCCTGTTGCTTTACATAATACTTATGAAATCCATTCAGTAGTATGTTAGGATCACTTATCACATGGCTTTCTGAAATACTTCAAATTGATTGATAATGGCATTCTGAGGTCAAATATTTTTGTATAATGAGGAGTCTAATGACTACTGAATTTTATAACTGACTATTAGTATCCCAGACAAACAATTTTGTGTATAGCTGTGCTAGTTATACAACTCTCATATCACTCTGCAGACTCACAGAACTCTGCACCCATCTTGGTAATTTTGTATGTAGCCATGGAATAAATGCGTAATTGATTCTTTTCAAGTTATAACTCTCAGCATTGACTTTCAAGACCTTCATTTTGTAGGTACTCTATTGGAAATCTTGCTTAGCTTCACTATAATAGCTAAATGCAGCCCATAGATTTAGGCTTGTAGTTCTGAGGCAAAAAGACCATATCAGGTAATAGAAAATTTAGGTTTTGAGGTTGTCTTGTGCTGCCCATTTCTCTCATTTCTCCATTTTCTCATAAAGACCACAGTGATCAATATAAAGTATGTCTAGTTAGTGGTTTAGAATAATACAATCATTTGTTTTATTCATCCTTATGAGGGCTAATCAATAGTTCACAAGAATCCTCAAAGCCTTTTTTTCTCCCTTGTTACAGTTTTCTCATTTACTCTACCATTACGTTGTGGAAAACTTGTCAGTAAAACATGAATTGCTTAGTTTTTTAGTTTTATATTAAGCAGATTTAACTCCAGGCAGTTTTTTTGTATTAAATACAGAATGCATTGTAATCGTATTTTTGGCTTGTGTAGCTTACAGTTTTTCTCCATTGGTTTGGCTCATTTCTTGAAACAGAAATTACATTCTCAAAACAACATGGACAAACCTCCAAACCACTTGGCAATTGTTCACAACAGAATTTAATTTCTCATTCATTTCATCAAATTGCAAATGTCTAAGTACATGTCTCAATGTGTCAGTACATCTTTGCAAATGATTAAGTACAAGTAGCCTACATTTAGCACAATTTCCAAGTGAATAGATCTTGTTGATCTAAACTGATTGTTGATTCTCAGTCTAATGGTTGTTCACTCCAAGACATGTCAGCGTCATTTCATTGTATAAGTCATCACATGCACAATAGTCTGTTCAATTGTCAAAATGAGTCAAGAACATAATACCATGAATACCATATATGAATCCCTTGGAACATTTGATAAATTTATTGCAGCAATTGACAGTCAGGTGAAAGAACAAAGAAGTTTCACACATCTCAGATGACCAATCAAACAGTATGTTTAGTTACCTGACAGGTTCTGTCCATGACTGTGAATGCTGCCAAACATGTATGTAAAGAGCTTGACCATGCAGGACCAGTACAGTTTATGAACATGGAGGCACCTGGCCAAGTAAATGAACAAGGGCAACTGTCTGCTCGAGGAAGAGGAGGAGGAGGAGGAAGAAGAAGAAGAAGAAGAGGAGGAGGAGGAGGAGTAAGGGTGCGTGGTGGTGGAATAGGGGGAAGAGGCCGAGGAGCACGAAGACACCATGGACGATAGAGTACGGTGGCCAGGAGAGGGAGGGTGAGGACAGCGACCAGTGAAGAACTGTTAGTTGTGAAACTCAGCTTTATTTACAGCACTGTAGGCTGCATATCATTTTCATTGTTTTTTGTTTGTGTGTCTATATTACAGTATATTATGCTGTATATATTTTCTTTTTACTCTGATGTATGGAAGTTACTTTATGTGTGTGAATGATAATGGTTACAATTTCCTTGGCAGTATGAGTGTGTGATGTCAAACCTTGGATGTCAAACTCTTACCCTAAAATCCTATTTCTTTTTTTTTTCAGTTTTATACACAATTGCATTCTGTTAGCTAGACTAAAAACAGTATAGTAACCATTGTCAATAAAGGACTAGGCTAAGGCTGAAAGGTGGACATGGGCGATATTTCAATGGTCCTCTGCATAGTGACAAAACATCTAAACATTTTGACTTGCAGTGCTTACACAATGCCAAGGGGACGAAGCATTTTGGGGGCACTGACTGTTTAAATGAGAAAGAAATTTAGTTTTGACACATGAGTGAACTGTTTTGGGAGAGGTATGAGCTTTTGCAGGTGAACCATGGTGTTGTGCTGAACTGTAAGACTGTTTTGCCAAATGATCTTAAAGTTTTGAGAATGTAATTTCTGTTTCAAGAAATGAGCCAAACCAATGGAGAAAAACTGTAATACTACAGTTTTGTAGTACATTTCTAGGTTGTGTTTCAAAGTAACGAACAAAGCATTCATTATTAATAAATGTAGCCTTACATTTTTGGTTTTAAATCTGGTGGAAGCCTTGTTCTTTCAAATATGAAAAGATATGATCCGACTGGTGCTTAAATTGATAGCCTACTGCACTTCAAATACCTTAAGGGCCCCGTGAGAATCAATATCGTTGGTAGAGAATACTGGTCTGGAACAAGAACAAAGGCCCATCTGAAGTCAAAAGCTTAATGGTGTCCTAGTTGCTATAATCTAGATCGTATACACGCACTTGTTTAATCAAACCATCTGTGCTCTCTGCCCTAGGTCTCACATCAGTTGAGGTGAAGTAAAAGGTTTGTTAATTAACGCAGCAGGAAATGTTCTCTTTCATCTTCTCGCTGTATACAAATCATTAGATTTGATCACAGCTCAGCGCCGATCAGCTGCTTGCCCGAAGCTGGTATGAAAATAGATAAGATCATTTTGTAACCTCTTTTGTGAAACTTCATGGCAAAGCTTGAGACAGTGTTAGACTTCATCACTGTTAGATAATGTTTGCCTTAAGAGGCATTCGCAATGACAACGATTTGCAAAACGTGTTGTTATTTATTTATTTATTTTTTATGGATTTTGCTCCCTCAACCCCAGTTAATTTTCTCTCTGTGATTCATCCACAGGTTGCAGCACCAATTTCCTCCTGCCTCCCTTAGTGGGATGGGTCCTCCAGTCCCCATCCCATAAACCCAGTGGACCACAGCCATAGTGTTCCCCTCAATGAACATCCCACTGGAGCCCTAGATCAAGTAAGTCATCCACATTGGGCTTTACAGACACAGACTCTGTGACCCCAAGTATTATTATCTAACAATACTTTGCTTCTTCCACAGGTTACATTGGGTGTCCATTCTCTGCTGCCTCCCCCCGGTGGGATGGTTCTGCATGACAGAGAGGGTGTGGCGCCATAGCCCCCTCTGTTTGAGATATCTCCCACCTCATAAACCCAGTGGACCACAGCCATAGTGTTCCCCTCAATGAGCATCACTCTGGAGCCCTAGATCAAGTAAGTCAGCAGATTATGCAGAAGCTCAAAGCTGTATTGAAATAACCTGAACTGGCAACAGCTGAAACTGTGGGTCCAGCCTTTTTATCTTTACATAATCATCAGGTGTTGTGGAGTAACTAACTAGAAGTTGTGATGGTACTGGACTGCGTTCTAAGTAGCGTGACAGTAGCTCAGCTGTTTTCAAAATAGTCTAGCACTTCTTCCAGTAACAAGCTATTTTCTCCAAGTGGTGGCATGACTAAAAGTTACATCACCGTTGTTTATGTCACATTATATCACATGCAGCCTCGCGTGTGCCAAGGCAAAAATAAAATACTTGTAACATAATATTGGGTATTAATTTTTGTGATTCAGACCATTTGTTCATGCATTGTTTTGTGGTGAAATCATTTGTTTGTTTGATTGTTTTCAAGCTGTTGTGTGCCTAGTAACTTGTATCGGGGCACACACAATAGTTTTGCTGCCATTTGTTTTATTCTCATTTGGATAAAGGCTTCTATTAAATGAATAAATTTAAAGATAAAAGCCGCTTCTAAAACAGTAGTTAAAATAGTCCTCTGAATGTTGAAGTCACAACTGTCAACTAATGTCATCTCTGCAAAGGTAATCAATGAACAGTCCATAAGACAGTTGTTTCTGTTCAAACATGTAAGGTATTCAGCACAGCACAACTGCTTTGAGGCGTTTCAAATATGAATCAGGGACAGTTGGTGCAGGTATAACAATTTTTCAGGCCCCACTGTCCTTTCTTTTTTTCTTTTTTTTTTTTGCATCTGCTAATACTAGATGTGTTGTGGTTGATCAACAGACTGTACAGTTGTCATGGTAATGTAACCTGATTGTGCCTCCACTTAATCTGTTGCTGTTTTAATTTACAGTTTAATTCTCACACTCAAACTTAGGTGATTTAATTAACTGCATAGATTTAATGTATGTTTGTTTGTTGACCCTTGTTAATTAAAAAAAAGTTACACATATGTCCATAGAGGACAAAAATGTCCATATCCAAAAACGGTCATAAACTGTCAAGTTTGGTCTCATTTTAAAGAAGACCCTTGGCGGATTATTGTTGAAGTAAAATAAATTTAAATAGTGAAACAATTTTCTTTATTTAACCAGCAGCCATATCACCCTGTAGCGCAAGACTGGTTGCCCACTGAAGTTAAGCAGGGCTGAGCCTGGTTAGTACCTGGATGGGAGACCTTCTGAGAAAACCAGGTTGCTGCTGGAAGAGGTGTTAGTGAGGCCAGCAGGGGGCGCTCACCCTGTGGTCTGTGTGGGTCCTAACGCCCCAGCATAGTAATGGGGACACTATACTGTCAAAGAGCACCGTCCTTCGGATGAGACGTTAAACCGAGGTCCTGACTCTCTGTGGTCACAAAAAATCCCAGGATGTCTTTCGAGAGAGTAGGGGTGTAACCCCGGCATCCTGGCCCAATTTGCCCAGTGGCCTCTGTCCATCATGGCCTCCTAATCATCCCCATATACACTCACCGGCCACTTTATTAGGTACCCCATGCTAGTAACGGGTTGGACCCCCTTTTGCCTTCAGAACTGCCTCAATTCTTCGTGGCATAGATTCAACAAGGTGCTGGAAGCATTCCTCAGGGAGTTTGGTCCATATTGACATGATGGCATCACACAGTTGCCGCAGATTTGTCGGCTGCACATCCATGATGCGAATCTCCCGTTCCACCACATCCCAAAGATGCTCTATTGGGTTGAGATCTGGTGACTGTGGAGGCCATTTTAGTACAGTGAACTCATTGTCATGTTCAAGAAACCAATTTGAAATGATTAGAGCTTTGTGACATGGTGGAAGTAGCCATCAGAGGATGGGTACATGGTGGCCATAAAGGGATGGACATGGTCAGAAACAATGCTCAGGTAGGCCGTGGCATTTAAACGATGCCCAATTGGCACTAAGGGGCCTAAAGTGTGCCAGGAAAACATCCCCCACACCATTACACCACCACCACCAGCCTGCACAGTGGTAACAAGGCATGATGGTTCCATGTTCTCATTCTGTTTACGCCAAATTCTGACTCTAACATCTGAATGTCTCAACAGAAATCGAGACTCATCAGACCAGGCAACATTTTTCCAGTCTTCAACTGTTCAATTTTGGTGAGCTCTTGCAAATTGTAGCCTCTTTTTCCTATTTGTAGTGGAGATGAGTGGTACCCGGTGGAGTCTTCTGCTGTTGTAGCCCATCCGCCTCAAGGTTGTGCGTGTTGTGGCTTCACAAATGCTTTGCTGCATACCTCGGTTGTAACGAGTGGTTATTTCAGTCACTGTTGCCCTTCTATCAGCTCGAACCAGTCTGGCCATTCTCCTCTGACCTCTGGCATCAACAAGGCATTTCCGCCCACAGAACTGCCGCTCACTGGATGTTTTTTCTTTTTCGGACCATTCTCTGTAAACCCTAGAGATGGTTGTGCGTGAAAATCCCAGTAGATTACCAGTTTCTGAAATACTCAGACCAGCCCTTCTGGCACCAACAATCATGCCACGTTCAAAGTCACTCAAATCAACTTTCTTCCCCATACTGATGCTCGGTTTGAACTGCAGGAGATTGTCTTGACCATGTCTACATGCCTAAATGCACTGAGTTGCCGCCATGTGATTGGCTGCTTAGAAATTAAGTGTTAACGAGCAGTTGGACAGGTGTACCTAATAAAGTGGCCGGTGAGTGTATATATACCAATTAGCTTCATCACTATGTCTCCTCTCCACCAGTAAGCTGGTGTGTGGTGGGCATTCTGGCGCAATATGGCTGCCGTCGCATCATCCAGGTGGATGCTGCACATTGGTGGTGGTTGAGGAGATTCCCCCTTCCATGTAAAGCGCTTTGAGTGCCGAGAAAAGCGCTATATAAATGTAATGAATTATTTAAAGGGGTCATATAATGGGACATGCACTTTTTCAAGTTGATTGTACTGAAATGTGTGTTGGCAGTGCCTGTACACAACCATCATATAATGATAAAAATCCATCCAGTGTTTTTGTTTTAATCTCCTTATTTGTTTTCCCCTGTCTCAAATCGAGCCGTTCGACCGTGTGACATCACTAGATCGGACCCCCTCCCACGATTGTTGATGGACAGCAGCGTTTCAACACAGACCCGCCCTGAGCGAGCTGTCATCATAGTCCGTCATTGATACACTGGAGCAGAATGGCGTCTAAGCGATTGTGGTGTTCTGTTTTTGGGTGTAATAATGAACACAGCAGCCATTTTGATGTTCCTAAATCCGAACCGCTGAAGACACAGTGGCTGAGTTTGTTTTCGAAGGGAATATTCCCCACGAGCAACGTCAATGCTTTCATGTTTGCGCGAATCATTTCTCACCAGACTGCTTTATAAACGAGGGTCAGTATAAAGCTGGTTTTGCTAAGAAGCTGCTCCGCAAAAAAAGAATCGGTACCAACTATTCATGTTCCCTCTGCACCTCCAGAAGAAGTGAGTGTAAAGTTTTATTAACCTTTATATTAATCTTTGCAAATCGCGAAAAAAAGTTGTTCATGACATTAACTGTAACATCATCAATCTGTCAACGAACTAACGTATACATCAGTAAACACACATCGTCCGTATCTCACTACTCTACCCTGCCAGTACATACAAAGATAGATCAAAGTGACATTACGTTAATCATCCATTCAGAAACGTCCTGTTCGAGCCTTAATAGGCTATATGCACGCATAAGTTCCGCATTTGACGCAAGGCTGCTCTTCAGTTTCCGGTTGGGGAGATTTAAAGCGGAGGAAAACGGGATTATGGCAGAGTCTTCAAAATTTACTGTCCTCTCGTCTTTGAAACGAAACTTTAATACGTTTAGATGTAATTTTATATATAGTTATGTTTATTTAATATAATAAACAAAGAAGCATAAACAAAATGAGGGGTGTCTGTTTTGTCTGTTTTTGTGACTTTTCTTTAGTATAGCAATAGAGTATAAAAACCAATATAAATTCTCGGTATAGCATTGGACTCTACGATCGGCGGAAGTAATCCAGCATCCTTAGACCTTCACCGGAAATACTGCCGTGCATAGAGCCCATTGTCGAACTTCTTTGCGGCCGTCATCTTGTTCAGGGTCCAACTCCGGTTCAAATTGATACGGTTGCACAGATGTGTCCTCAGAGACTCCCGCTGCCATTCTTTCTCAAAAATATACTCTCAACTGTTGTCAAGGCAACACTCCACATGCGTTGTGTCAAAACAGCCCAAAGAACAGAGAGGCGGAGTGACCGAAGCTCATTATCATTTAAAGGCATATGCACTGAAACGGCATGCTGAAAACAGAGCTGTTTTTGACTAGGTAAAATTTGTGTTTTCTTAAAATACTAATGAGAATTTTTAATAAAAGTATATTACAAAGTTTTCATTTAGACCCTAAAGATTCATATTAACTTGTACAAAAATGGCATTATATGACCCCTTTAAGGTTTAAATTTATGATAAAAAATATTATGAAACATGTTGAACTCTAAAACTGCTAGAAAATCAAAGCCATAAATCTAAATAAGTTGTGTTCCAAATTTGAAGTTGATATCTCAAAAAATTTGCTTTCAGTAAGATTTTGTTTGGGCACAGTATAAAATTTTCCCCATTCGATGCCAGCAAAGCTCCATTGGTGCACACAGTGGTTGGATTTGTGATTTGCAGTACAGAAAGAATTTTCTCTCTCAAATATTACACGCACACACAATTTATTTTTATTACACACATACAAACCATACTCTGACATCCTCTGACAATTATAGCTTTACAATGTATCCATTTGGCTCTAAAATATGCAGAATCAGAAAACAGCAATAAAGCGAGTATTTGTTTTATAGGCCAAACCTGAGAAAATGGCACCATCTGGTAATTTTTTTTTTTTACTTTTCAATTTTGAAGCCTTGCCAACAGAATGAAAGCCTATTAACAAAGACTGCATCATTTTATAGTTAAATGGCCCTGGGATTAAAAATTGCAGTTTCAATGGGGACAT